GTGTTGGATGTTTTGGTTTATATGGTTATGATTTTATGATTGATCAAGATATGAAAGTTTGGTTAATTGAAATAAATGTTAATCCAGCCTTAACAACAAATACAAATACACTTATTCAAGCTATTCCACCTGTTGTTAAAGAATCTATTTGTAAGATTTATTTTTATTTTCATATAAGTTATAATTAAATTATTTTTATATAAAATAGTATTATCAATTGAATGTTTTGAAAAAATTCGTCATAATCAAAAAATATTTCCATTAAAATCTTTAAAAGGATTTAAATGTATTTATAATGAATTAGAAAGAAAATATTCCTTACCTTATATTGAACAAAAACGTCCTATTTCATCTTTACCAAATATACGAAAATCTAATTTATCACCATTTAATAATCTTCGAACACGTTCAAATACAAATAATTCAAGTAAAAATGATCAAAAAATATGTTCTATTGAAAAACGAATATTATCATATAAAGTATGTGAAAAAGGTGAACGTCCTAATTCAATGTGTTATAATAATAGATTATCAACACCATTTAAAATAAATAATTCTTTAACATATGAAAAAGATTCAATGATGATTAAATATCAAACAATTCAAAGATATAGAAATAATTTTGAAATTTTAAAACCAGCAACTGTTATTGCTGAAGAATGGGACAATTTAGATGATATACAAAAAAATCGTCTTTCAATCGGAGGTTCAAAAAGTCTTGTACTTATTTCAAAATGTTCAACTCGAAATAAAGCTAATCAACCTCTTCAAACATAGGAATATTCGACAGTTGCATCATCAATCTATAATCATTATAATTCAATCATTAATGGACGACAAATTGCTTTGCTTCATACAACAACAATTGGTTAGAATTTTATCTTTTTTTTTCTTTTTTATTTTTACTAACTTTTATAATAGAAACTTCTTTTTTTGTTTTCTTTTTCTATATTTGTTCAAGATACATTTTTTAAACAACAAGATAAAATTCCATTATCGAAATCATCAAAACCAACAAACAAAATTCGAACAAAAATTTTTAAATCAACAAAATCAAATATAAATCGATATAATTCAACATTAAATATAAAAGATTTCAATTCATTTGAATATAATAATCTATTTTATCAAACAGATATCAAACCGACATTAAATAAATCTGCACTTATTTATCAATTAATATGTTCAAGACTTCAAGCAAATTTAGCTCGATCAATATCAGCTAATAAAATTCGATCAATTAATAAATCATTTATTTATTCATCATCAAATTTATGATGCAACTGTCCAACCATTATCTTCTTACTTTAGTTTTTTTCTTTTTTTATACTTTTATTTAATAGAATTTATCATTAAATTAATTTTAACATTATAGAATTCTTTTTATGATGCCTTATTTAACGAAAAAATACTCTTGATTCTACTGGATAATAGACAACGATCAATCTACTACTTATACATACAAAATTTTCATAGAATGAACAATTTCAATTTTTGACAATATTATATTACATAAAATCATCTCGATTTCGAATAAAAAATAAAATTATACCGCTATATTTTATAGCGGTATAGTAGTATAAGATATATATTTTTACAAATCTAAACCAATATAGAGTACAACGGGTATATGATTACAACTCTGTGACGGTATAAGCATGCGGATGAGAAAGTGGTTGTGAGTGCAGGTGTGAGACACTTCAGATGAGGTTATGTATCGATCAATTCCACTGACCTAGAGAACGACCTACACAAAGGAAGACACACACATATTATCGCGACAAGTGTGACTGACGCGAAAATGACAGAAACAATGGTGCACAGAAAACAATACACAATTATCATCGCAGCTGGTTTTGGTGCAGCGAACGACTCCCGACGGTGATTCTCTAGATTTTAGTAGAGAACAAGGATATCGGTGGCATTTAATAGTGTCCTACACGGGTACGACTTTTTGCACCCGGACCCGACCCGACAGTTTTTTTTGTACCCGGGCCCAACCCGAAGCCGGAGAGCTGTACCCGACATCCGACCCGACCTTGAGACAATTAGCATTTAACTATTACTGTCAAAGTGACATACTTTTCAAACTTTTATTTCATATTACAAAGTATACTATTGCAAATATAAAAGAAAAAAATATAAATATTATAAATTATTCAGTCTTGAACTCTCACGATTTTGAACGTATAATTTAATACAATAATATTGTGTAACTGTTACAAATGAATTCTTGTACTTTAAGTATAAAAAAATGAATTTGGTACATCATTCATTCTTGAATTCTTATCAACTAAAGAGTAAAAAATTATTGACTGAAATCGTGTACCAGTTACAAATAAATTCTTTCAATGTTCAGTTCAACATGAAAAGCAGAAAATGTTATTGTTGCTAGCGTAAATTATTCTGATTCTTAGTTTATACGATAATGCATTGATGAATCATGGTTGAATCGATCTGATACGCGTATCTTTTTTAACAAATAATGATCGTGGAAAGAAAAAGATTTTTTCATATTCAGATCTCAGTCATTGCCGGGTCGGGTACCGGGTGTGCTCTAATTTTGTACCCGATCCGGTATTTGTTTTTATACCCGGTACCCGACCCGGCTGCAGGACACTAGCATTTACGCAGCGTTTAAGTGTCTCAGTTGGTGCAGTTTGGTTTAGAAGGTATTGGGTGTTGCTTTTACTCTATATTCCTTGCGCCGTACAGTATATAGTAAACCAGCATTCTGAAAATTGAAATCAATCTTTTTGGAATTAAACTTTCCATTTAATCGCTCAATAACGAGACTGTGCTCATATAGCCATACAACGGCCTTTCAAAAAGGCGTCAAATAAAATGAATTTATCAGTGACAAGTAGTAAACACTGTATTGCTGTTTTTCTAAAGCAGCGTAAGCATTTACTCATTTAACAGCTTTTACCAAAATATCACCTAAGCGGTACTAATTCGTGTAATACTTTATTTGTATTTCGATCAGTTCTTCACACTTTATTTTGATGGAAGTATAGGAGGTACACGAAGTAATGGAGTTATAGGACGTATAATAGATAATTGAACTTCAGGAAGTAATGGAGGTATAGAAAGTAATAGATATATTCACTGAGGCGGTGGGCACTTTTTCCAGCGTTAATGACCTTTTATATTAGCGTTGTGGGATGGAAATGCGAAGCGCTTCCCCCAAGAGCCGCGATCCATGCAAGTCTCTCCGTATACAGCGATGGAAGTGCGTCATTGTTGCATTCACTCTTGTATCTCCATTACCTCTCATACTGCTATAACGCTCTAGTGGTATAAGACGATACTGTTCTGATTGTTTTACAGATGATGATTAACATGTATCGGATTTTTCCACAAATTCAAATTTTCCATCAAGTCAAACTTTTTTGTTTACTCAGGTCGAGTAATATGAGAACCTTGTATTCGATCGTATTTGGATATATTACATTACATTTTTCAATATTATGATCGTATTTTATTTTAATACGATAAATAAAAAAAATGCTTTCTCTCGACTTTTCCGTTCATCTTTAACCATTATATATAAAATTAGTATAAGAAAAAAAAAATATTTTTTATACTTAATAGTGATTAACGTTTCCAGATGAAAACATATAATCGTTTACGAAGAAAGTATAATATGTAAACAGGCTGCATACCATCATTAGGTTATCGTTGGAAAGTTACCATTGCTTCACCATTTACTCACTTGAAATAGACCGTAAACGATTTTCATTTTGATTGAGCTCGAAGTCAAACATGATTTGAAAAAAATTACATGGAAACGCAACTATTTTCTGCGAACATATAAAGAAAAACACTGCTAAAGTCTTTCTAAAATATAAACGTTGTCATTTTAATGTTAGCAGTTTTAACGATTTTCATCGATTCATAATTAAAAGTATGTTTATCATTTCTTCGAATCTATAGAAACTTAATATTATTTATTCTTTAAAAGTCTAGTCGAAATCCTGCACAACTGATATGTAGATTTGCTTATATCGGTTGTATGTGATTGACCATGGTTTAGAAATGAAATTGAAACAATTTATTCTATTGTTGCTATAAATCGTTTATTCGAAAATTTCTCTTTTTTTTCTATAGGATATTTATTTATCGTTTAATAATTGTTTTTAAATTAGCTGCAGTAAAATTATATTATTGATGTTATAACATTTTTTTCTCATCTAATTATATTTAATAAATAAAACGAATCATTATCCTTTAAATCTGCTTCAGTTAACATTATTCGATATAATTTATGCTTTGGTAAAGAACAAACATTTGATGATTATTTTGTTTTATTCATCAACAAATGGTCAATAACATAACATATTCGATTAGTTTTTTAATGTTTATTCGAAATAAAAATAAAAAAGTTTTAGTTTTTTTATTCAACTTAGTTTTATCAAAAAGCTTCTATATGTCTCTAATGTATATTTTGGTTACTTGGAACCAAACGATTTTCTCTTGTATAATTAATGTGATTTTATTGATAAACTACCAGTTTATGTTTATAAAAGTAACAAGTCTTTGATATTTTTTCGTTTTTCTAATTTAGTCAAATTGTCGTAATATAAGTTGATGTATTTAATAAAATTCCATAATAAAATGTAAGTAAAGAATACTGTATATACGTACATATGACATATATATTGAACTGAAAATAGGAGTTGTAAAAAGTCTCTGATTATACAATGTCAAATGTCCGCGATGTTAAAAATAAAAAAAGAATTTTTTTTTTTTGTCATATATTACATTTCGATCCATCCAGATATGATTTAAGAAAAAAATAGAAGAACGAAATTTGAGATATTTCTAGTGTGTGGATGTGGGTGTCGGTATAATTCAATAATAGAGAAAACATCGACACCTTTATACAAATATTCCATTATGTAAATTTAGAAAAAAAAATTTTTATTTTAAGTTCTATACTTTATTGTACGCTTAATATAATTAATTGATCGAGTTTAAAACAAACTTTGTTAGGATTTTCTCATCGTATTCGACATGTAAATATGTTTGAACAAGTAAATAGAATATTGATGAATCTATTACGTATATTTTTTATTCTTAATCAATATGTTTCATAAATATCGTAGACGTATATAATATTTTTAAATTTAAATCATTCAGCTAAAGATATGTTTTTTTTTTTGCTAAACTAAGTTCACCGTATATTGATTTTACTAAACTTCGATATATTTGTTGGTATTGTCTAGAATATAGTACTATATGTAAAATAATTATTTATGTGATAATATTAAATGAAATAGATATATGTCGTAGAAGAAATTATTCAAAAGATAAGATCTATATATTTTATGATAATGAGACATTAATAGAATATTCTATTTATTTAGCCTCAATGAAATCTCCACAATATTCATACGAACAATATCTTAAATTATCATTTGATTTTTCGACAAAATAATGGTTGTAGTCAGATTACCTATACCAATATCGATGACTATCCATAAAAATGTTCCAGATTTCGAATGAACTATTCAAGGTGATGTTCTATTAACCATTGAATCACCGACCAAATTATAGAAAATGATTGTTTTTTTTCTTGTTCATTGAAATATTCTTTTTATTTTAAGGATTTAGAATGTTTAGTACAACGAGGTGATTTAACATTACCTATTCGTTCTCATATAATTCCACCTCATGTTCGTTCATATTGTATCCTTTTGGATCAATATTATTCAATTGTTTATCCATCTGGTTATTTTTCTCGTGAAAATTTAAAATAGAAAAAGATTCACTGAATTGAAATATGCTGATTATATTCAGACGAATTTTCGTCATGTTACTGGATATTTTGTTGAAGTATTAGGAGCACCATACACTTGTTTTAATGCTTCATTTTATTATAATCAGTTCCATTTTTCTGCAAAACAATTCGTTTAGTCTTTTTGATATTTTTAGGAATATTGTTAATCGTTAATCTAGAGAGAAATTTTTTAATCAGGAGATTACTAAATTATATAATGATGTTGTAAATAAATCTCTTTCATTGATTTGCTTTTCGGATTGATATTATATATCCGTGATAAAATATCTTCAATTTTACGATGAAAAATACTCGACAATGGTATAATGGAAATTTTTGTTTTTTCTAAAAACCTTTTTTATTTGTGATTATTTTTGTTTTTTGGAAGGTGATTACTAAAAACTAATGATACTAATTTACCGGCATTGAATAATCTATTAAAATCACTTGAAAATGATCTGGATGACAAAGTTTTCGAAGGAAATTATTATCTTGA